GGTTTAGATAAGCTCTTGGAGTTGGGTTGTGTTAAGAGCTAGAGCTGTCCTCCGAAATTCCAGGAGTAGGGCACTGCCAGGATTTCTTTAGACGCTCAGTGAAAATTTGATTTCTATGTGTAGCCATATTTTTTTAAGCAAACAACAATGTTAGGATGCATAAAGAATGAGATGGAAAAATCACTTGTAATATCATTGTATTCCAATGTTCAATTTGGGTTACCTTGTCTCAAAAAAAAATGACACAGAAGAAATTGTACTTAGATGTTGGACAATAGATCAAAGGCATGAAAAGATTTTCTTATGAGGAGCTATTAGGATTGTTTAGAGAGGTGTCAATTAAAAGCTAGCATTGTAAAAGTCTGGAAGGTGATATATGGTATACAGAAGGTAAATTGGGGATTTAATTAATTATAGTGGGTCCATTCTAAACAGTCTTTAATGCAAGTATTTTAAGTCAATTGAGGAAAAAGACCTTCCTTGTTTTATGTTGATTCCTAAAGCTCCAATTAGCACCCATTGTGCAGGGTGCTGTACAAATATTTATTATCCACAATCCATATTGAGTGAAGCATTTCTTTTAGTGTCTTTGTAGACCTTGACTCACAAGGTGTACAAAGTAAAGGAAGTACATTTTAACTGCTATTTATTTCCAAAAGACTTCAGTGACAGAAACATGGACATGCTTTCCAGTTTCAGCATTCTTCATGTAGCATTCATTATTTTGAGGTCCATAAAGAACTCATCCTTCAAATTTGGCACATATCTGTGGCTGCTTCTTTATCTCAAATATTTTTATGATTGTGGATCATAATATGGAGCAGCTCTGTGTACAGTAATGCTGGTTAAATTCTGTGGGGGGTGAGCAGTCATGGAGTGGAGGTAGCTGGATTCTGACACTTCAGCCTTCACGAACTATAGGACTTCCATGTGTTATTGGCTGATAAAGGGTCTGGGACCAGGAGAGGCCTGGACAAGCATGAAAGGTGGCTAACAAGGATTGTGATGAAATGTAGAAACACCAGAGCCTGGCAGCTCCACCATAACGCTGTCCAGGACCACCTGGTAAAGGCCATCCCTGCCGCAGTGGGGGAGATCTCCGTGAACCGCGCCATCCCGGGCTGGAGAGCCAGATGTGCCCCAACATCGCCATCACAAATGAGGAGGCCAAGAAGATCATGATCATGGATGTCACCATCCCCTTTGAGAACTGGTGCCAAGCTTTCACCAACACCTGGGCTTACAAGCGGGAGAAGTATGCCCCACTGGCCCACATCCTGAGGGGCCACGTCCACGACATGATGGTTGATGCGCTCATCATGAGAACGCTCAGAGCCTGGGACCCCAGCAATGAAAGTGTCCTGCATGCCTACAGCATCTTCTGCCTCTACGCCAAGCTGATGTGCCACCTCATGGTGTCCAGCATCATCTGTTGGTCCTGTGACATCTACATCGAGCACATCACAGTCCATCGCCAATACACCGACCCCACCAGACTGACTGCTACTGGACCCAGAAGTCCATCAGGTGCAGAGGGGAACTGCCTGAATCCCCCTCTACACCTGATGGACTCCAAGAGGAATCTTCAATGATGGACCACTCCACTCCACCCGAAGAGGACCCCCGCGATAAGACTCTATAAGACTGAGAAACTTTTTCAATCTACCCCCTCCACGATTAGACCGTTGTACGGGCTCATGTGTATCTATCCTCCTTCTCTCAGCGTTGCGACCCCCCTCCCTCCCTTTCTCCCTCCCTTTCCCCATCCCTTAGTTGGCTAACTTTTGTATTTTTTGTAACCTAGTTGCATTCCCCTCCTCACCCCCATCCCTCTTACGTTAGTGCTTTGCTTGGGCACTCTTTATTTCCCTTCTGGCTTTGTCATCTTTTTGGTTCATGACTTATAACATTTACTAATAAAATTCAATGTTCTCCCAGAATTACCTCTCAAAGAGCCCAAGAAGCACCTCAAAAGTTAATATAACTCAAAAAAATGTGAGAGATACCTCTTCTTTCCCATAGGAAACCTAAAATGTCCCACCAGTAAGGTCTCTCTGGTGCATTCATTACTTTCCTGAAGAAGAATGAACCAACCTCCCAACAGTGTAAAAGCCCAAAAGCTTGAAGAGCTGAAGAAGCGTAGTCTGTCTTTGTTCTCTCCTAACTTATACAAGGAAGAAGATATGATATCCTATCATCGGTCAGATGAGATATAAAATAATATGATATCACCTTGTCCTAGGAATTATTTGGGAGGGTTAACCATTCTGCAGCAATCATGCAGAAGCCCCATCTTGTGATGCAGTGGTCCCCAATCTTTGATAGCCCAGACTCTACCTACAGGACTGAGCAAGTAACATGAGGAAGGCAGCAACCTGCTTTGCCTTCCTGTCCAACCTGTGTTTTTTATTTTCAGTCTTTTCTGGCTGTGAGCTGTCACAGAATTTTGTGGGTAATGTCTCGGTGTACTGTGGTTGGGAGCAGAAGTGATATGTAAACAGGCTTGAAAGTTCAATGAAAATGTAAGATTTATCGCTTTCAATAAACTTCTGCAACTTTTCTTAATGTGGAGTAATATTTGAAGAGCAGCTATGACCTTGCAGGAAAGCAGTGTCAAACTAGAGACATGGCAAAGGACAAATATTTAGAATGCCTTTAAAATAGCAAATGGGGCTTAAAAAGTATTATTGGCTGCTGACAGACATGTAAACCCGCTCCATCCCCCCACGTCACAAGAAGCAAAGCATTAGTTTGACCCAGCTCCACAGTGTCTCTATATATCATGTGCTTCAGCGGGGCTTTTTGGGGCTTTTCTCTAAAGCTGATTCAATCAGCCATTGGATAAAGCACCAAAAAAGCCCTGCTGAAGCGCCCAATCTATACAGTCATTGGGTGAGCCAGGTCAAACTAACATGAGATCTCTTCTGGACATCCACTGGGTTCGGCACGGGGTGAACCAAGTTTAAAGTAAAGCACTTTTTTTTGGAGTTTTTTTACGTCTGTAAGCAGCCATCATTTTCACTGAAAAGAAAGGTGATGTTAGCAGAAGAAATAATTCTGTGGGGTGTTCTAGTTCAGGGGTCGGCAACCCCCAACGTGTTTGCCAGAGCATGGCATGTGAAGGCATTTTGCTTTGCATGCGCACCTCAGGGCAGTTAGCAGGGAAGGGGCTTGAGGTTGCGACAGCGAGGACTGGGCCCCTCACAGCCCCCCAATCCACCTAGAGGCATGTGTGCATCTGCTGCCAGCAGCAAGCTGGCCTGGGGCTCCACAGACCTCAGTGCAGAAGTTTGCAGCCTCCCAGCTGCCTGCCCAGCCAGCCTGGGCTCTAGGTGGGCCCCTGCCGCCTGCAGTGGAGCCTGGGCTGCTTGCAGCGGGTGGCAGGAAGGCTGCAAGCTGCTGCGCTGAGGTCTGCTGAGTCCCAGCCTGGCTTGTTGCTGGCAGTGGGTGCATGAGCACAGACAGCAGGGCAGAGGCCAGGGCTCCATTACCAACAAGCATGGGGCCCCTCACGGCTCCCCTGCCATCCATCGCTGGCACACCAACATCTTACAAGTCAAGGATGGGGTGTTTTTGGCACTCCGTCCAAAAATGTTGCCAACCCCTGTTCTAGTTGTTGGCACATTTGCTTTGAAAGTTTCTAAGGATGCTATCAGTTATAACATCTATCAGGAAATCCTTAATGAAAACACATCTGGGAGAAAAAGAAGCATTGACCCTTTCTCAGCTTTAGTGACATTGAGAGGCTCATAATTCTTTGAAATTAGGAATTAGTTTGTATTTCAGCCATACAGAAAAGGAAGGATCCTCTGGGCAGAATAACTAAAGTAGTTTTTGTAACTAGGCAGCCAGTAAGATCAATGGCAGTTTTGTGTGCTGATACCTCCCTATTCATATTGTGCCTGTCACTATGGTATTTCAATATGAAAAGAAAACTAATTTGGACCAGATTAGAATCCTTCATCTTTATTTGTTTAGAAATTCTTTCATGTGGAAATGGAAGTTGTGACCTTTGTAACATGAAGAGAGACCATATTAATTCTAAATCTCCATTGTGTGCTTTTTCTATACCCTACAAAACGAGTAAATAAGTGGAATTTTTTTTGTAACTTTGAATGTAGCCATGTTGCAGTTCATAGTAATTGTAACTGACAAAATAAGGATCAATGAGGTGTTCAATAGGGACAAGTACAAAGTCCTGTACATAGGGTGGAACAATCCCATGCTTCAGTACAGGCTGGGGGCTGGCTAGCTGGGCCGCAGCTTTGCAATAAACTGAATATGAGCCAGCAGTGTGCCCTTGTTGCCAAGAAGGCTAGCAGCATACTGGGCTGCATTGGTAGCAGTGTTGCCAGCAGGTCAAGGGAAGTGATTCTTTCCCTCTATTTGGCACTGGTGAGGCCACATCTGGAGTACTGCGTCCATTTTAGGGCCCCCACTATGGAAAGGATGTGGACAGATTGGAGAGTCCAACGGAGAGCAACAAAAATGGCTAGGGGCACATGACTTATGAAGGGAGGCTGAGGGAACTGAGCTAATTTAATCTGAAGAAGAGAAGACAGAGAGCATTTAATACCAGTCTTCAGCTACCTGATGAGTGGTTCCCAAGAGCATGGAGCTGGACCGTCCTCAGTGGTGGCAAATGACAAAACAAGGAGCAACATTGCAGAAAGGGGGTTTAGGCTGGATATTAGGAAAAAATTTCTTACTAGGAGGGTGGTGAAGCACTGGAACCAGGTTACCTAAAGAGGTGGTGAAATCTCCATTCTTTGAGTTCTCTAAGACCCGGCTAGGCAAAGCCTTGGTTAAAATAACCTAGTTGGGGGTGGTCCTGCTTTGAGTAGGGGGTTGAACTCGATGGCCTCCTGAGGTCCCTTCCAACCCTAATTTTCTATGATTCTAAATCCAGCATTGAGGAGGGAAGTGCTAATTTGTTGTAGTGTACATTATTTTGGTCATACGGGATGTATTGTAATGATTGTAATGTTTGTTTCTTACAGTTCGAAGACAAATCTGATGCAGTTTTTGACCTTACAGAGAAATGTAAGCGCTCCTTTAATTTAAATATACTTAAGAATGAGCTGAAGTTTAGTATTAGATGAATATTGCTTGTTAAACCCAGACCTGGTATTTTTGAAAATCCCAGTCTTTTTACCTCTTTCTAGGTGGTGATATCTTGGATGCAGAGATGTCTGAGGACACAGATCACAACCTAGCACCTGCCCTTGATGGCATATCCTATGGAATGCAGAATCGAGCAGGATCGGCAAACTCACTGCTGGATGAGGATGATTATTTTCTGAACTCTGGGGATCTTGCCGGGATTCCAGTTGTTGGGAGTGACAATGAGGACGATCCAAATTTCTCTCCAAAGGACGGTCTCCCTTCTGTGATTCACGCTGAAGATAGCTTGGGAGAGGGGAAAAGAGTTACAGAACATGAGTTGGACAGTGAAAAAGAACTTCAAATACAAAATGCAATCCAAAAGGACCTTGCTTCACCATTTGACCAAGGCCCTATTTTTAAGTCAATTCGGAAAGATTTTAGCATAACAAGAGATAATGGCAAGGAGACTTTTTCAACAAAGGAGAAAAACAGAGAAGGACCTTTTCAAGAACGGGAAAAACGTTTGGAAAAAATCCCTAAGGAGATGGATTCCAGATTGAAAAGCAGTTTCCATGATAAAACAGGTAACAATTGGACCCACAGAAATAGCAGTATAGGGTAACAGGAAAAAGAGAAATAGCTATAGCTCAGCATTAACACAAGTTATTAAATGCATTTTCTTTATGAGCATAACATGTCCAGCTGAATGCAGGGAAAACATTTTACAAGGCCCAAAATATAACAATTTTTTTTTTAAAGCTAGAATTTTTAGAGAGGCCTAAAGGTATTTGATGTCTTACCTCCTTAAGTTCCTTTTGAAAACCACAACCTAAACCGCAGTTTGGTTGCTTCCCCCAAAAGGAAGTGAGTGTCATTTTAGACTTTCTTAATGTGATGTTCGAACAAGTTTTCTTTAGCACGTGATTGAATAACTCTTTATACATCCACCTCCTCCTTGAGATTTGTTTTTAAAACACAAAGAGGATGAAGTTTAAATCAGTAAGTCTTCAGTGCAGTCAAGATTCTGCAAAATGGCTTTCTGAAAGTATTTTATAGTTTGATATATGCTTTATATTTAACAAAAACAATACAGCTATGTTGCAGAGATATTAAATGTGCAGTCTACTATAAAAAGAAAAACAAGTTTTTTGTAAGGAATTAATTGATTGATGCCTTTCACAGTTGATATGTGCATTTTGTAGTGGTATTGAAACTCATTGGTGCCTCCCAGAAGTGATGCAGGCAGCAACTTAAAGACCCACTTCCTAGGACCAAAGAAACAGGAATTTGCTTCATGTGGCCCCTTTCCCCAGCCAGCATGGAAAAGCCAAGGTGTTGCCTTTGAATCTGTTCCCTAGCTAAGGAAACCTGAAAGATACCTGGTCCATTCACCTATTTCAAACTTGCCAGGCTCTAGAAGCCACAGCACAACATAGGATGCTATCCCAAACTTGATAAAAACTGGGCAACCTGAATTGAATATACAGTTTAACTCGGGAAATACGAGAGGTAACTGTAGGGCTGCTGCAGGAATAAATTGGTCCTGACTATTGCTTATTGACATTCTGCAAGGCGAAAAGCTCTCATGTGTGCCATTATGTATGCTTGGTCATACACTCACAAATCCTTGTACCTTAATAAATATTTTGCAAGTAATGCTTTTACAAACTTAGGCGATATGTTAGGGTAAATGTTTATTTTTAGAATGTTGTAGGAAACCCAGTATATTTTAACATATCAAATGATTATTCTCAAAGTTTATTTTCCAGGATATTAGTAAGCTAGTACCTTTCAGGTGATGAAAATGCAAAAGGCAGAAAAGCAAGAAAAAGCTGGATGAATACTTCTGTTTTGGAATATCCACAGCCAGATATAAATATTAAGTGAGAAACATGGCAGGATCATCAGAATTTACTGGTTCACTTTGGGAGGCAGAGAACCACAGGGAAGGAAGTTTGCTTCAGTATTTTATGAACATTTCATTGAAATGAGGAATTAATTACCAAGTGGAATGCTGAAAACATTCAATTCCCCTTAAGCACTCTCTCCTGACTTTCTGTGAGGGAAGAGGGAGCCATTTGGTTTAGTTGGTTTTAATACTTTAATACTAGGGAGGTTCTTAGACATTGTAGAGATGGACATTGATATGAGACCCTTAAGAGACACCAAGCAGTTACTCCTCTAAAAACTGTATTAATTTATATTTAATGTAAATATTTTCCACAGTTACTAATCAAGTAGAAGAAACAATTCGGACACAGTTAGCACCACAAGCTCCAGAATCGAATTTCAGGGTAAGCTATGGCATCACACTTTTTACTTTTGTGAGTCTAGCAACATATTTTGTGGAGTTTAAGATATAAACTTTAAAAGTGAATATTTTATAACAAATACGGTAGTGTTAGTGTGGTGTCGTAGCTGTGATGGTCCAGGAATTAAGTAAGAAGCAAAGATTTTGTAGGGTGATATGTCTTATTGGACCAAATGCACAGTTGGGATAGAATTTAGACAAGCTTTTGAATGAAAGACATTCTTCATCAGGTCTGAGGCATAAAAACTATGCTGTGCTGGCTTTTACTCCTCAGACATGATGAAGAATATCTTATAATGAACGTGCACTTTTTGTCTCCTTAGATAGTTTTACTACCTGGCAAATTCAAATACTGATTATTTTAATCTTACTGATCCTGTCTCTGAATGAGTGATACCAGTAGAATAGTTGTATTTTGATAATTGATTCTATGAAAGAAAGTACAGAGTAAGTGAAATCTTGGGAGTTGACCATGGTGGGGTTGTGATTTCTCCCTATGAGCTACCACTTGAAAGTGGATATTGTATTGTTTACAAGGAGAAGGTATTTTAGGGAAGGGAGGAAACAGCCATTTAAAAAAATGTAATTTAAACATTAGGTGCGTTTCTAATTCTTTTCCATACTCTTGTGTGTCAGGAGTCTAGCTACCTATTTTCTAGTAAGGAACCCATTGGACAAGAACTGGGGAATTCCTTTACACCAAGCATTAGAATTAAAGAAGAGCCTTTGGATGATGAATATGATAAAGCTATAGCAGCACCGCAGGGACTATTAGACAAAATTAAAGATGAACCAGATAACTCTGAGGTAAGTGTGCCTTTCTGTTTCATACTTTGGTTTTTATCCCAGAAACTGGATAAGGATTAAATGCTGAACTTGATTTGTTGGTTGAAACTTAACCTTGAGAAGCAATACAACTTAATAGAAAGGCTCTTTCTTTTACCACCAGCAAACCCAAAACTAATTATTTTCCCCTCTCTCATGACACCATATTCTTGAAAATATCATGTTGTTTCAGTTCAGTAAAAAATTGCTGTAATATGTCATTTTTAACATGGTTTATTGTAACATTTACAGCCAAAATAGACACTTTTAGTTCAGCCTACGACAATACCTTGTTTAAAAGCCCTGAAGCAGCTAGAGCCAGCCTTTTGAGCAGGTGTGCCACAAATTAGCCCCGACCCTCCTCGAGTGTCACTTCAGGCTGCCCATGCCACTTTGGCATAAATGCCTCAGGTTGGCCACCCCTACTCTAAGTATAATTCATATTTTCCTGAAAAAAAATTGTAAATTGTTACAACTTTTTATTTTTATCTTAATGGTTTTATTTCCAAGCATTAAGGGCTAAGAACAATTTTTAAAAGAAATTTTTAAAAGCTCCTACTGATTTCAGTTTATAGTATGTGCTAGCAGGCTTTTCTGAATTAAGACCAGAATTCGTGGAATTTTTGGTGATTACAGAAGTAATGTGTAGTGGTTGTAAAATTAAGAATCCCTGGTCTAATGGACTGAATACAGAGCTAAATGTCCACATCTTAAAAATTCTGATCTTTCTTTGTTACTGGTTCATTTTGTGATTCTAAGCAAATCATTGCTATTGACCTCAGTTGTACTATATATAATATGATTGATACTTGCCTCATAGGCTACTGTGGTAGTGCTTGTATAATGCTTTTATGAATGAGAGACCTGGGTATGTATAATATGCACTGTGATCACTTAATATTGAGAAAACAAATATAGCACACTAGGGATCAAAGTAATATTCTCTGGGGATGTCAACACGTTCATTAATGTGCTTTAGGTAGTGCACATTAAATCTAGTACCTTTTGGATGCCTGTACACACGTGCGGAGGCTGCTCTGACAAGCTGACATTCTAGTACGTCAGAGCAGACTCGATTAATCGGTTACCCAGGTTAAATCAGTGATTTAACCTGTTGGTTTAACTCGATTAATCAAGTTTGCTGGAGCATGGCAATTACTGTACGCCAGCAGCCTCCTGCACCTCAAGTATCAGTGTCCCTGTGCTTAAAAATGGCAGCAGGGGTGCTTGAACTAAAGTTCATTGAATGAGCTTTAGTTCAAGTGCCCTCCACCACGATTTTTAAGTACAGGGATGCTGAAATGAGATACAGTGGCGCTTTAATTAGAGCTGCTCTTGGAGCCACTCTGATCAAAGCGCCACCCCCACACCACCCCTGGAGAACATGTAAAAGAGCCTTCCATTGTGAGGTACTAGAAAAAGGCCCATTAGCTTATTTTAATCCACATTAGCTAAAGAGCATGGTTTTGTGTGATGCTTTCATGCACATTAAAGCATATGTGTAGACATGCCCCCTGTCTAAGATGATATAAAAGTTAGGGCTTGCAGACACTGTCCATCTATCTCATGAGTTTGGTGCTTCTCTTCTGGCTCTGTTCATGTTTTGATTTTCTGTTTGATCTCCATGCCTTGTTGTATCTTACTCTTCTTTTGTGTCTGCCTATTTTATTCTTCCTATCTGTTTCTTGTCTGAAAATACTTTAAAAGCCACTCCCTGGTGCCTGTTAGTTCCAAGTGAACAACAGTGTCACACATGGATAAGTGTAAAGAAAAACTTGCTATATACTGATTAACACTGAGCACATTATTCGTAGCAAATTGTTTACATTTTGCCAGACTTCCTGTTTGTGTAATATCCATGTAAGTTTTCATTTGCACCCCCCCGCCCCCCCCATTTTTGTCTA